TCCCAGCTACAATATCCTCGGCTTCCTGCAGCTCCTCCTTCTTTGCCCTCATAGCACAGCGGAGGTCCTTTCTCGTCGCAGCAGCCTTCTCAAGGTCCGATGCCTTCGCCTGGTTTTCCTTTTCAAGAACCCGGCAACGGTCCGCGGCGGCTTTTAATTCTATGGTCATCTTGGCCATCTTGTCTCGGCTCTCGCCATGTGCGGCCTTCTCGGCTTGCAACTCTTCGGCTGCCTTTGAAGCAGCCGCATTACCCAACCTCGCTTGTTCCTTGGCTCGGGCAAGTTCGGCCCGCAAGGCTTCAACAGTGGCAGCCCCATCTGCAGTCACAACATATTAAAGATACTGGCATCATGCTACTCTTCCTATGTGACGTTCACCAGATAATGACACTTACCCTGTGCCTCGTCAAGCCTTTTGTTAACAAGCTCGATGTCGGCGTCTGCCGCATCCAACTGTCGTTCTAAATGAGCAAAGTCGCTAGTCCGGTTAGCCACCGGAGCTTCCATCACCTGCACATAAAGGCAGTATGGTTATTACCTGGGAATATGATCCTTTGTTCGTCGTCGTTTCCGACGACAACCAGAGTCTCAGGGGCTACTATCTACACAGGGCACACCTAGCATGTGCAGGACTATCATACATTCTTTTACGTACCTCAAAACCTGTCAGTAGACTCATAAAAGTTTCATGCAATCCGCTTTTGGCGGACGATATTCTCTCTATCACCGTATCCATTAGCACACGGTGTTCATCTGAGATGGCCGCTTGCCCCACCAACTCCCTCAGCACATCCGATCGTACACTAGACGGTGCCGGACTCTTTTGTCTGCTCTCTTCGGGAGCCGGACACTGGGAGCTTCGGGGGTCAATGGGATTATCTTCTGGCCTCACCGGACTCGGAGAGGCCCTCCTCGACGACACTTCAAGGTCGCCCGCTTCCGGAGCGGAGGAGTCCGGAGGAGGCGTTTCGCTCTCCATCATCTCTGGAAGAAGATCCCCCGAAGATGAGCTCATTTGAGAGGGGCTAAGGCCCGAACTGCAAAAATATATGCAGTGGTTATCTTCTTAGAAGGAAAAGATGGCATATCTGTACTATTAAAGTATTTCGGGTCACTTACGACTCGCGGGAGAATTGATCCCCTCGCGGACTTTGTGCAGCAATGGTGCCCCCCGAGGTAGGACCCTCTGTGGGAGACTTCTTCTCCTGTTTGGAAGCATCGGCATCCGAATCCTCGGGCGCAGTTCTTTTCCTATTTTGGTAGTCTTCCTTCATGGAGACGCTCGCTCCCTCGGCTAGAATGGGCAGCGTTGAGGGCCCGCGTCCGCCCGCGTTACCCTCCATAGTATTTTCCTTTAAGGGCTCCAGGCAGGTGCGGTCTGGAGCATCTTCTCCAATACCGGATTTTCCAAACCCTCAGGGAGGGGGGCCGAACACCGATTCAACTTCGCCTTTGTTAGCCAGTCCTGGTCAAAAAGCGAACTCTCAGAAATAACTTCGTAACAAAGGAGAGATAGTATGTTCGGCCGAAAGATGCCTTACCTATTCGGCGGCGCGATTACTACTCGGGCCCACGTCCTCGGTGATTTCCGGACACTCCACCTGAGGTCCGAAGAATGACTTGTACATCTCCTCGTGCGTCAGGCCGAGAAAATTTTGAATGACACGCGGTCCCTCGGGATTGAATTCCTATAGGCGAAGAGGCCGGCGTTTGCAAGGCTGGACTTGACGAACTAGCATAACTTGTATCACCGCAACCAAACTGAAATCTCCATTGAAGAGATCTCGAATGCGGCTTTGCAGTATAGGCACGTCCTTAGCTGGGCCCCAGCTCAGGCCTCTGCTGATCCATGACATCAGTTGTGGTGGAGGGCCCGAGCGGAAAATAGGGGCGGCCGCCCACTTGGCACTTCTAGGAGCCGTGATGTAGAACCACTCCTGTTGCCACAATTCAGACACCTCTGGGATGGAACCTTTGGGCCATGGAGCTCCCGTCATCTTGCGTATTGAGGCACCTCCACACGCTGCATGTTGCCCCTTGACCATCTTCGGCTTCACTTCAAAGGTCTTGAGCCACAAGCCAAAGTGAGGGGTAACCCGGAGGAAGGCCTCGCACACGACGATAAATGTCGTGATGTGAGGAAAGGAGTCCAGAGATAGATCATGGAAGTCTAGCCCGTAATAAAACATCAAACCCCTGACGAAAGGATCCAGAGCGAGGCCTAGACCTCGGAGGAAGTGGGAAACGAACACGACGTTCTCGTTGGGTTCGGGGGTAGGGACGACCTGCCCTCGGGGAGGCAGCCGATGCAAAATCTCGGCGGTCAGATATCTGGCCTCTCTCAGCTTTTTGATGTCTTCTTCCGTGACGGAGGAAGGCACCCATCGGCCTTGAAGGCTAGATCCGGACATGACTGAAGGTTCGGAGCACCTGACCTGAACTTCGGGCGCTTGAGCTTGAGGTGGGGGAAGGATTCGATTGAGCACGGGAGGGAAAAATAAAAGCCTGGTCCCTTTATAAGGAGGGTGAATATCAAGCGTCCTCTCCGTGTCCGTTTGGACTTGCCTATAATCTAGGAATCCTAGAAGCGGTTGGGTTACCCACGCCCATATTGATGAAAATCCCGGAATAAGGGGACACGATCTCTGCTTTAACAAGACATGTCAAGGAAACCGCCTCACATAACGCTCCGAGATGGGACAGTAAAACGGTTTGAATAAAGGCTTGGCCGTGGTGTGATGTCACACTACAGAATACGTCAGCAGATTAGATTTGTGTAAATATTATTCTCTCTATGGCAATATGTGGAAACTTATTTTGCAGAGTCGGACACTACCTTTGTGTTCAAAATCTTCTATGAAGTACTTGGAGGAGGAACCCGCCTTGCAATGCCGAAGACAATTTGCATCCCGGACTCGTCGTCATTGAAGCCTGGTTTAGGGGCTACTGAGGGAGTCCTGGATTAGGGGGTGTCCGGATGGCCGGACTATACCTTCAGCCGGACTCCTGTACTATGAAGATACAAGATTGAAGACTTTGTCCCGTGTCCGGAAGGGACTATCCTTGGTGTGGAAGGCAAGCTTGGCGATACGGATATTCAGATCTCCTACCATTGTAACCGACTCTATGTAACCCTAACCCTATCTGGTGTTTATATAGACCGAAGGGTTTTAGTCCGTAGGACAACATACACATCAACAATCATACCATAGGCTAGCTTCTAGGGTTTAGCCTCTCTGATCTCGTGGTAGACTACTCTTGTACTACCCATATCATCAATATTAATCAAGCAGGACGTAGTGTTTTACCTCCATCGAGAGGGCCCGAACCTGGGTAAAACTTTGTGTCCCCTGCCTCCTGTTACCATCCGGTCTAGACGCACAGTTCGGGACCCTCTACCCGAGATCCGCCGGTTTTGACTTTCACGGAATCAAAACTGTGACTCTCGTGAAAGAAAAAAAACTCGTTTTTCGTGCAATTTTTTTTAACTTTTTTTGTGCCAAAAGCTAAGGAAGACCAGTAAAAAACCGAAATGTTGAAAAAACCCGAAGAAAAACTGTTAAAAAGGCCGAAAACGTGTGCGGAAAAAGCAAAAAAATAAATCCGAAGAGAGCGCCCAAAGCGCGACACGTGGTGAATGGCTGAGAGCGCGGTAAATGGCACTGATCGTTACGAGGCTCCCGAAGGAATGCTCGTTAATTAGTTGCTCTCAACATATATTGAACGATGTGATCCATGGCCCGTCTAACCTTAATGTGTTGCATGCTTTTTGGGCCTATATTTTACTGTAATAATTTAAAAAGATGCAGTGCTTGCACTTGGGAGCTCCTATACGGCGCTGCAGGCGCCTGCAGCGCCCCGTGCTGGGCCGGCCCACGAACCATGGTGACTAGGGGAATGCAAAAACATAGCCAAAAAGATGAAACTAATGATGCTATCTATAGGATTTGAACTTATCACATCATGTTAACATACAGATGCCACTAGCCAGACGACCTACTTGCCATTGTTGATTAGCACAAGAGGCGACGGCATAATAACAGGGTTGCAGCGCTATTTTATTCATCTACTGTACCACTTAATTTTTTTGAATTAATTAGAAAAAAGATCGTGGTTTTGAAAAAAGTTCATTGATTTTGCAAAAAAGTTCATCAAATTTGAAACGAAAGTTTTTGAAAAAAGTTCACCAGATTTAAAAAAAAGTGCATCATATTTGAAAAAAGTTCACCGGATTTGGAAAAAAGTTCACCGGATTTGAAAAAAGTTCATCGATATTGAACAAAACTTCATCAAATTCAAAAAAAGTTCACCAAATTCGAAAAAGAGTTCACCAAATGCCAAAAAAATAGAATTAGAAAAAAGTTCAGGCAAATTTCAATTTTTCTTTAAAGAAATACTCGCGCATTGAAGAAAAAGAAAAAGGGAAAGCTTCACGGACAGAAAGGAATAAAAAGGTGGAAAGAAGAGAGATTGCATGACGCATGGTTGTGTCGTAGTGGTTACGTGGATTTGCTTTCTACTCCCTTTGTTCCTAATAAGTTTTTGTAGAGATTCTACTATGGACCACATACGAATGTATATAGATGCATTTAGAGTTTACATTCACTCATTTTGCTTTGTATGTAGTCCGTAGTGAAATCTCTACAAAGACTTATATTTAGGAACGGAGGAAGTATATGGAGTGGTCTTGAGTTCGAAGCTGGGTCACGCTGCTTTTTTTTTATCCTTTCCAGAAAAGGAAAAACGTAGAACGGGCCGGCCCAGCTCGGACTGCTGCAGGCGCCCGTGCCCACGGGCTTGGCCTCGCAGCCCGGGGCAGGCGGCATGCCAGGCACGCCCACTTAGCCACGTGCCATGCCGGCCCATCAGTGTGGGGCACGCGGGCTAATGGGCTGGCACGCCTGCCCGGACAGGTTTGGTCCAGACCGGCCACCACTCTCGTTGTCTCCCAGACCCCCAAATCGATTGGGTTGGGTTGGGTTGGGTTTGCGGGTGGACCGATGACGGTGGCCGCCGCACGCTGCCTCATTCTCACCCCCACCATCTCCTCCTCCGCCGCCGCGCTCCGGCTCCCCCGGATCGCCCGCCGCCGCCCGCTCTCCTGCTCGGCCTCGCCGCTCGCCGTGTTCGCCACCATGGACTCGCCGCCCGAGGGCTACCGCACCAACGTCGGCATCTGCCTCGCCGACCCCTCCCTCACCAAGGCACCCCTCCCCCCCTCGTCGTCCCCGTTGACAACCCTCGATGCCCCCCTCTCTCACTGATCGCTTCTCTCCTCCTGCAGATTTTCTCCGCGTCCAGGATCGACATCCCCACCGCGTGGCAGATGCCTCAGGTACTCCTGTTCTACTGGCAGTGGAACTTGTTGTTCAGTTAGCCTAATCATGGATTACTATTGTCAGTACTGCATCCTGGTACACATAAAACCAACCCTAGTTGATTCGCCTGGTTGCTCCGTGTCGCTGCAGGGTGGAATAGACCCAGGGGAAGAGCCGCGAGCAGCTGCCGTTAGGGAATTGAGGGAAGAAACTGGTGTTAGATCCGCCGAGATCGTCGCCGAGGTCAGCCGCCAGCTCTTCACAAGTTCTTACCATCATGATTTACTTCCAAGCATAGCAGAAATGAAATCGATAATCCATAGATGACCTATTTCAACTGTCCCAAATAGTGATAAATCTCTAGTGTCTCTCTGCTCTCAGTATGCAAGTGGAAGAAATTGTTTTCATAACCAAAAGTTTCTTTCTGATCGCGTTGCGTGTGTCCGTGCAGGCCCCCAATTGGTTGACATATGATTTCCCCGCGGATGTCAAAGACAAGCTGAATGCTAGGTGGGGAACAAACTGGAAGGGCCAGGCTCAGAAGTGGTAAGCCTGCTGGATTGCTTCAGCTAAGAATGATGCTTAGCAACAAAAGTTTGTTGTTGCATTTCTACCTGTTTCAACCTGAAAGGAAAGTCCTACAAGAATCATTTTACTGCACAGACATAGCAGTTGGCACTTGACAAACAGAATACTCCAACCCCAAGATACAGCCGCGGAGCCATATCCATTGCACAACTCTCTCTACCAAACCACCACACTATTATTCATGCCATGTAGCGATTCACGAAGTAAATCTGATGTCAGTTAAGTTGTCAGCAAAATCCATTAAAAAATATGTCACACCATAAGTGTCCATGATGTTATCATAACATGCCTTACTATATGCATCCATACTGACACCTGAACATGCTTCATTATCCATTAAACTTTATGCATTATAGGCTTACAGCTACTGTGGAAGATTATATATCCTGTAGTTGTATGTAACATACATGTTACAAATCCATTTCAACCTTTTGTATTGTTAGAAATCAGAGAGTTTAACACCTTATACCTAGCATGATGCTCCTCAACATTTGAACCTGCAATTGTTAATAAGTCATTTTACTGGATGCACTTGTATGCATGTGCGGAGTATGCTGTGCACACTTGTCTTGCACAGTGTGCATGTGCACACATGTCTCCAGTTGTAGTACATTGGAAAAAATTATATGAGATGCATAGACCAAAATTCAATACGAAGCTCGTTATGAGGGCATGTGTAGGAAAGTCTGAGGAGACATTAAACTGTGAGATGAACATATTGAATCTATCCAACCACTCACATGCATCGAAGGTCATGCTTGTACTGATCTGAAGTTTTCGTAATGCATCCGTTGGTACGAAGCTTCCTAATGAATTGGAATCCAGGACATGTAGTCCCCCGTAGCCTGTAATGGTTAGTCAATTTTGGTGTCCAGGAGAACTGTTGAATCCCTAGTCCTCAATTGTTAAGCTGATGGAAGTCAAAACACAGAACTTAGTGCAGTAAGGTCGAGTTATATCTTTATATTGGATTCAAATAGAAACGCAATTCATGTGTTAGTAAGTGAAACTCTTTCTAAAAGCTATACTCCCTCCGTTCACAAATATAAGATGTTTTGGATATTTCAATATGGACTACATACGGACTGAAATGGGTGAACAAACACACTAAAATGCGTCTATATACATCCGATTCAGAAAAAAGTTAGAACATCTTATAATAGTGAACGAGGGAGTACCTTTGATGTTATCTTCTGATTCTGTCTAATGATTTAATATTGGATACATTCCTATTATCTTTCACAAAGGGTCATGTCACTGACTGGTATAAATTTTATGGTTGGTAGTTGGTATGTGTGGCTATCCAAAATTGGGCTGGAGATATTTCCATGGATGTATCTACAGTGGCCAGCCTGCTTATGCCATCTCCTCACCTCTCAAACTCTTCCATTTAGTCTTACATTTGGGGCCTATACCTGTAAGTTAGAAGTTGGTCGGACGTTTCTTATTCAGAGATAATTACTGTCAGTGAAATAATCAATTTCTGCCCATCGTTCTTTATTGAAATATCAATCAAAATACGCAAGACATTTAGCAGTTAATCAGATCTGGATGTTAACTGTGTACTTCAAATGAGCAGGTTTCTATTTAGGCTTACCGGGGGTGATGACGAGATCAACCTGATGGGCGATGGATCTGAGAAGCCAGAGTTCTCTGAATGGGCATGGATGACCCCTCAGCAAGTGATTGAGAAGGTGGTCCATTTATTCCAGCTCGATAATAACACCCGATCCCTCCTGTTTATTGAATCTGGGGCGCCTACTAACACAGTTTCCATGTCGAACTCACACACAGGCTGTTGATTTCAAGAAACCTGTCTACGAGGAGACACTGAAGCACTTCGCCCCATATCTACAGTCAGATCCAACGGCTTCGTCGTAGATTTGCGCAGCCACCCACAAGTTCCACATATCTAGAGCTGTGCGTGCCATCAATAATTTGTCGAAAATGTACTGGGGCCGCGTGAGTATTTCTAGAACGTCTGGCGTGTCTGCCAACACCGACTGTTATCCCAGCATTGGATCCCGATAGCCTGATCATGCTCAACGAGGTGCGTGCGTTGTTACACAAAAATAATATCCTGGCTACAGTTCCCTTCTTCCCGCCGTCTGTTTGGTTTCTAGTTGTGGCAAATCTTGGTGCCATGCAATGCAACATGGACACCAGCAGGGCCTGCTATTCTTGCCAGGAGAAAACAGCATCGCTGCCCCTGTCATACAGGCGCCTGTCGGAGCCGCGGCTGAGATCAACAGGTAGGAGAGCCTTGTTGAGCTCTTGTTATGTCCCGACGCCCCGATTCTGGTGGCGACGGAAATGATCTTCAGGGACCAACAAATGCCTGAACTGAAGCGCCTTGGCTGTTGGCCAGGGCCTTTTGCTTTGCTGTGGTTTGGCGTGAGAGCACGGGGAAGGACAATGTGCCCTCCACGCTTTTGTCCCGTGTGGTCTCTCGGCGCCCGCCATGATACTGTCTGTGAGCCGTGTCCCGTGGCCATGGTAGTAATGGCATGCGATGTGGTTTGGTTAGGTTAGGGAGGTGGATGGATGGGGATCGGCGGCGGCGGCGGCGGCGGCGCGCGTGGAGCATGGGAGCTGTTAAATGCCGTCCGTTATTAAGTTTGGTTGGGTCTCCTCGCCGGCGGGAAGGAAAGCAGCTGGGAGGAGTCCATCAATGTTTCGCTGTGCGTTCGTCGGTGGCCGGCCTCCTTTCGCCTTGCCTTTCCTCTCCTCTCCTCTCCTCTCCTCTCCTCATGAGTCTTCCAAGTTTGCTGAAAAATTCATCATCAACAGTTCAACACCAAGGCATGGCAGGGCAGCACCTGGGGCCCACGACCAATCTCTATCTCTCTCATCTCACTCACAGTGGTTTTAACTTGACTAGAAGCAGGTGGCGCCATCCCGTGGCCAGGGAACCGGACCGGACCAAGAGGGAGTCGCCATTGCCAAGTGGCAGCAAGCAGACCCGCCATGTGAGATGGAGGACAAGGAGGCCGCACAAGCACCTTGGCTGTTGACAGAGAGAAGAAAGCTCTACATTCCTACATAACTACAGGCTTGATGCAGATGGGCCACCTGACTGAGCGACTGATTGGAACCATAACTACCCGTGATGTACACATACACACATACATACACGGCCGGTACCGTGGCGTACAGTACAGTACAAATACGACGGACGGCGACAAGAGCGCAGGGCGGCAGGCAGCACAGGTGTGCGGTCTCATTATACGTGACGCATACATACGCTCTGCACTACAAACGTGCTGTGACCAGAACCATCTCGCAAAGACATCAGCTAGCGATGATGGCTTTTTCTCAAAAAAAAAAAAACAGTATAAGACATCGGTACTGTTCCTCACTCCACACGGAATCTACACTAGTTAGCGGCCTTAGACCAGCCTTCACTAATTGCTCGCCAGCAATGGCGTCCGGATCAAGATTGACAAAGGACGGAGCATCTCACGTGGAGGGTACAGCCGTGCAAAGCGCGGCATTATTCTGACCTAATGCACGCTTGTACATAGAGTGCCAAACACTTAATGTGTGTACTGCTAACTTGCTGTGCAACATCTCTAGGCTCTCTGCTTCTTTTTTTCTTTTTCTTTTTTGGTGAAACCAAGATGTCTAGGCTCAGAACATAGAGACTAATTAGCAGCCGCTAAGATAAGATAAGCATAGAGCACCAGAGGTCGCTTTTGCTCTACTCCGTCGGCCACACAGTTATTGCACGCCAGCTGGGACGACAGCCACGTGGCCAGACATACACATCATCATCATTAAACAACAAATCATCGATGTCGTGGATGATTCCTCGACAGTGACACTTGATTAACCCGGGTAATTACACTCGCTTTCAGCGCCACAGAGAAGAAAAAGGCCATTACAGCCATCACTGGAGTCACTTACAGCCCAGGAAGAAGATTCCTAGCAACCAACGTCAGTGGTTAATAGGAGTGTATGCAAGTGAGCAACAGCTAAGCAAGACTCAGTGGCTTCACATCAAGTGTGGATTTTCAACGGCCACTTGTCAGATAACTACAGCTGCACAAGAGAACCTGAATAAAGATCAGCATTCATATGTTGTTACCTCCAGCCAGCCAGCTACTGGTGCTGCACACTTGTTTGCTTGCTTGCTTGCTTGCTTCAATGTTGGTGGTAGATTTGTTTTGTAACAACAATAATTGAAGTGTTGTTATTATTGTTATTATACAATGGGGCATGGGAGATCAAGTGTGTAGAGCCTGAGAAAAGTGGTGCAAGCCTGGAGTGGTACTTGCTGCCCCCTCAACAGTGCATTCATGGCCCATGAATCATGGTGGACGGCATGGAGGATCACTGGTGATGTCCCCCTTTGGCCTCTGCAGCATGAGCCATGAGCATGAGGAACCAGATGCCAGATGCCATTGCAAAGCAAAGGAGGAGAAAATTCGGTTCCAGGTACAGGCAGTGGATCAATCAGAGAAGCATGATATGATATGATTTGATTTGATTGCTAGGTAAAGCCAGAAGCTTCAGTCTCAAGACTGGAATAATGGAAAAGGCAACCAACCAATCCATCCTAAGGTAGTACCCAGTTGAACAAAAAAGTGAACAAGAACAAAAACAAGATGTCTATCTACAGCGGCGGCGGCAGAAACACAAGCACATGGACAACGACGAACTCCTTTTACTTTACCTACAAGATCGAGCGCTGTGCGAAAACAGGGGAGGGAGGTCCAGGAGAGACAATGTACTTATTTCTTGTAGACATGATGATGGCGATGACGATGATGGTGGTTCACCGGCCGTCGGCGGAGGTGAAGGACTCGGCGAACCCCGCGGGCCGGGCGGGGATGCTGCCCTTGCTGTCTTCCAGGCTCAGGCTCATGATGCTCCCGTCCGTCATGCTCGCCTCCGACTCCTGCCACCCCTTCACCATCTGGAGCAGCGGCAGGTGCAGGTCGATGCCCATGTAGTCCTCGGCCTCGTTGTTGGACGGCTTCCACTTCTCCACCATGGGCACGAGCACCGTCACGGCGTGGCCCATGTCCGGCCGCTGCGAGGGCTCCCGGGAGGTGCAGTGGCCGGCCAGCTCCGCGACCACCGAGATGCTCTCGAAAATCTCGTTGGTGAGCTCCAGGGTCGGGTCGATGGCTGCCCTGAACTTCTCTTCGTCCTTCCTTATCTGACCGAACCAGGACGCCAGATACCGGGTTTCCTCGTCGATACGTCTCTCGTCAATGGCGGTCATTCCGGTTATCAGCTCCATCAGCACCACCCCGAAGCTGAAAACGTCCGCTTTTGTTGTGATTTTCCCAGTCACTGCAGTGATCATGTGCAACAACTTATCAGCCAGACATTCAGGAATCATGATAAATAATATGAAAATGATAAATACTTGGTAGTAAATTTCTCATCATGGAAGCTTTTATATGCTGCATCAAAAGGTGGTTCAAACTTCACAATGTTGGACAAAGATACATGTTCTATTGATAGAAGAATTGGTGTATAAACTTGTGCAGTAGTAATTTGCAAGTTAGTGGTCACAGGGTTCCCAGATAGAATGACTAGTTCATCAAACATTTCCAATGTCATTATCAAATCAACTCGGCTATATCTTACATGAGGTTACTTACACTGGGATTTCAATCAGAATGACCAGTTCATCAAAAATTGCAAGATAATTGGCACATCAATTCAATTTTTCAGTTCTCTACTAAATCTAAATGAGGTTATTTACACAGCAAAGGATTCACAGGGTGACTGTATTTACTTAATAAAGCATGCTAAAAAATCAACACCTGATGGTCAGAACTAAAACAGAAGTTGCAGAACTAAGCAGGGTAAAACAAGTCAAAGTATTTCATACCAGCATATTCAGGCGCCAAGTATCCAAAAGTTCCAGCTAGTCTGGTTGCCACAGAGAAGTTCCCGTCCGGCGCAGATTTAAGGAGCCCGAAATCCGACACCTTTGCTCGGAAATCATCGCCAAGTAGAATGTTTGCCGACTTAAGATCCCTGTGAATGTAGCACTGCTGTGCGAGGGTGTGAAGATACTCCATTCCGCGAGCAACATCTAATGCGATGTTGAGCCTCTTCTTCCACGAGAGGGGCTCCAGCTCATGCTGCTTCCAGTGGAACAGATGCTTGCTCAGCGCTCCGTTGGACATGTGCTCGTAGACCAGCAGCCTTTCATTCCCTTCGATACCATAGCCCATTATCGACACCAGGTTGCGGTGCCGGACCTTGGTTAGAATGGCAATCTCTGCTTGGAACTCATCAAGGGCCTTGTTGCTGATCACCGAGGACTCCATCCTCTTCACAGCAATCATCGTGCCATCGTGCAGCACCCCTTTGTAAACGACACCGAATCCGCCACGGCCAAGCACATTATCCGGAGCAAAGTTCTTGGTGGCACAACGAAGAACCTGCACGGATATCACAAAATTGCGTGCCTCGATCATGTGGATGTCACTATCCCGGCTGCTGGTGCCGCTTGACGTCGCGCCGAAGCTGTCATTGCTTGTCATGACAATCTTGACCAAGTTGTCTGGGCCAGAACTGTTTCGGGGGTGGACGACGACGGAGGAGGTCGCCTGTGGCTGAACCGAGGACCCATTTTTCTTGCAGAAGAGCACCACAGCACCCAGTGACAGCAGAGCCACCACGCCGATCGCAACCGGAATGGTGGTAGCCAACAAAATTTTGCTCTTCTTGTTCCTTTGGCCTGGGGAGGCAGCGCCTTGGCCTTGTGAACCCGGCGCGCCAGGCGTTGTTGGTGAATGAGGGGCATCCTTGGGAGCAGAACCACCCGGCGACGTCTTCGTGTTGAAGTTGGGATTGCCGGTGAGGATGACATTCACGTCCGGTCTGAAGGCCGGCAGAGGCCCATTCAGGTCGTT